AAAATATGTCTAATCCAATTCTTGGCCGGCTTCCTTGGTTTAATATAGGGTTTAGGGCTTAAAGTCCCGTGTTTTGCACTTTAGTCCCTGAAATTTCCTCCTCCTGCCGCGGTTCTACCGCGGTCGCGGTCAAACCGCGGTCAAACATGGCCTCTGCTGCTTCAATTGTCTGTGAGCAGCTCTCACCGCGGTTCTGCCACGGTCGCGGTAAAACCGCGGTATTTCATCTTGTTCCGTTTGGAATTTGGAAAAACGTAAAACATGAAAGTTGTAGCCCTTTGAGTTAGCTTTCCAACCATATATTATGGAGCCCTGAGTAAAAAGTTATGTCTATTTGACTAGACAGTGCGCAATATGCCTCTTCGAGTTTTCGTTTTGTTGTTTTATCATCCGTTGATCCCCGAACGCGATCCCGGCTTAATTACTTGAGCTCTTACTCAGACTTCAAAGCTCAAAACCACTTAAATTTATTCCATAACATCTATATAGCTCGGAATCACACCTACAAGGCATAAAACACACAATTAGTGCAAAATACTAGTGATTAAAGCGCAAACTCAACTAAAGTGCAATAAATTAGAGTGTAATAATCGACTAAAATACGTAATTATTGCCTATCATCACTTTTGCCTTTATTATGTTGTCAAATCAGTTCATTGTTTGGCTTGCAATACGACAAAGATTAGCTGCAGCTAATCGATTAAAAAGATGGAAGATACATGTTCCTAAGGAATGTGTATTATATAACACCGGTTCAGTGGAAACCTTAGCTCACTTCTTCTTTGCCTGTACATTCTCTGCTACTATCTGGAATGTGCTACTGAATGGATGGGAGAGCACATGCAATTAGGAACATGGACGGAGGAAGTTAAGTGGATAATTAGGAAAGTGAACAATAATAGAGTGCGAACAGAAGTGTTGGGTTGGCTCTTTGCTGCAACAATATATCACATTTGGGTGGAACGCAATGCTCGAAAATCCGAAGCAACAACACACCAAGCATATCATTAGGGAGATTGTACTCCAGCTACACATTAGAGGACAACAACAAAGTAGATGGAGAAAGATACTAAATATTTTAGATAGCTTTCTTTGCTGGCCATAGCAGATAAATATAGAGTTTAATTCTGTCTATGTGATAGGTAGAATAAGAAATAGAGGCCTTGTTCTTATAGTCTAAAAAGAACAAGCGGTTGTAAATATATACTTGATTAAATAAAATTTTAATGTTTGACCAAAAAATAAAGTTGTCAAATAGGATCAATATCCATCATTTTCAAGAGATTGTATTTTTTGTAAAATTTTATTTTATAACTCAAACACATAATTTAATAATATTTATGTGATTTTAAATACTTGTAAAGCTCTTAAATTTATTTATTTATCTTTTTTAAAACCCGTTTTTGGAGTCTCATATAGCTTCAGTAATTTCATAATTCAGTACCCCTTACTGAAGGGTAATTTTTTGAACCATTTCCTTAATTGTTTTCTGTTACCCGCTCCCTTATTTAATAGGGTAATAAAAGCATTCAAAAAGAAAACATCTTACAAAAAAGATTGCTTTAAATAGCAAAATAAGTGATTTTTTTTGATGTTTTCACACAGATTAAGAAATCCGCCTTTTAGCATTAATTAATAATATAATTGACCATATTAACCTTTACTATCTCACATAAACACTCCTAACACATATTCCAACACTATTTACTCCAAGGACAATATAGAAAAAAAATAATTTTCTTGAAATCTGGAAAAATCACTTATTTTGGACCACAAGAAAAAAGCCAAAAAATCACTTATCGGAGAGAATAAGTATTCTCCATAGGTTGTGGGTTCTGATGACCAAAGGAAATATAGTGGGGAGCTGCTGTGAAAGAGTAAAAAAGGGGGGAAAAGAAAATCTTGAGTTGATATCCACATATCTTTATCCAACTTACAAACATAAATTTAAATTAAAAATTAAAGTATCAAGTGTAATTGATTGCACTTCTTTCAATTTCCAGCGACTCGTGAGTCGTGACCAAGAATATTTCTAGATTCATCGATAGTTGTTCAACTGTTAGCTGAATTTAACGGAAAACTTTATTATCTATAGTGGAAGAAACTGAGGACCAATAAAGTTGTGATTCACAAGCAAGAGTGTTTCCATGTGAATATAAAATCACATCTCACTCTGAAGTAGAAAAACAAAGAAAATCAAAGAAATAATACAGTGAATTTTTTTTAGAAAGGCACTCACAAACCTAGTAAAAGCAATCCTACCACTACAAATACAAGTTACAATTCAGAGACCCATATTGGCCAATCTTATTTCAAATCTAAGACTTAAGAGCAAATTAATTAAAAAAACACTGAAAAAGAAAAGGTCAATCTAACAAAATAAAATTACAGCAACAAATGGCCAAACCAAATACACAAAACAGGGACGACCAGTGCACCAGCATTATATCTAAACGCGCCGTTCTTATCTGCCTTCGAATCCGCGACATCGCCGGTGGGACCATCCGCCGGGGAATCCGCCGGAGAAGCAGGCGCCGGCGGGGATTTATGTTTCTTTCCCGCCGGCTTGGGGGACTCAGCTATCGGAGCTGGTGCTGGAGCAGGAGTCGGAGCACCCTTGAACAATTCTTTAGGTTCCAAAACCTTATCAATCGAAAAAATCGCCAACGGCTCTTTATCAAGTACAGTTCCTGTAATTTTCGCCGTGTCGATTTTGGTCCTCAATGTAACATCTTGGCCGTCATTTTGGACAACAAAATCGTAATTATTAGCACCGTCAGTAGCTAACGTGTTCATTAAACCGTTACTTGTTCTCAAACTCGACAACGATTGATAAACTGGAACACCATGATATTCAAGAACGGACTGTTTCCCGACAGCAGTTAGGTTCTTGAACTTAGGAGCAAAGTCTTTCATTGCATCGTCAGTTGGACAAAAAATGGTTAGACCACCTTGGACATTATCCTCGTATGTCTTTTCCGCAGGTGAAGCAAGTAAAATGTCGGCGAAGATTTTGCATCCGTGAGCTGACATTACAGAGGTGAAACTCACTTGGGGTACTGCTGCCACTGGAGCTGGAGATTCAGATTTAGCAGCAGAAGGTTTGATTTTACTGATCTGAGTGTTTTGGGTCTCACATGAACAATACGGGAAAAGGACGGCTAGAAAAATAACTACAGTGGCTATAGTGGATGCCATCTGAAGCTGCATTTTCCTGCCAAAGGGAAAATGAGAGAGGAGCTTTGGGTAGTGTGTGGAGATGGAGTGTGAGTGGTCAGTGAAGTGATGTTTACTGAAGTTAAAAGTGTGTACTTGGATCTGAAGTGAGTACCTATTTTATTGACCAGGAATGGAACTTTATTTACAGATAATGCCACTGAGGGTGGGGTATTGCTGACTAAGCTGGCAGTTGTCCTCGTTCCGGTTTTTGAAGCTTTATAGTACTTGGTAAAGACTTGAGAGTGTAATTTTGTCCCTAATTTACACTCACCTTTAATTAAGCTAAAAAAGATAGAGTAATGATGGTACTAATAATAGGAGTGTGATTAACTTGTAAATTGAGGACAAAATCTTCATTATAATTGTAAACTTTGGGTATTTACTACTCCCTTCGTTTCAATTTATGTGAACTCATTTGACTGGGCACGAAGTTTAAGNCCCCCCCCCTCCCATTTGATAATTTGGTACAGAATTTTTAAAAAGGCAGGTTTTAAAAATTTATGGCCTAAAACAATCCGTCTATTAAGAGTAAAATATTGAAAGTGAAAGTTAAATTATTTTTAAATCTTTTTTATTGTAAAAAAAATATATATCACGTAAATGAGACAAATTGAGCACTTTACCTTTTTTGGTCATGTGGAAGTTTCTAGACTTGCTGATTTCCACTCGGTCAGTCAGCTTAAGTAAAAGTGAAAGAAAGGGATACCCACGTTNTTTAAGAAAAGAGAGAAGACTTTTGAACTTGTGGTGTAAAATGAGGCAAATATATTTTGTGTGGTTATAAATCATTCCATAAAGGTAAATTGTTTCCAAATAAGGAAAGAGGTTATTCTTTTTGCCACGGACCAAAAAGGAAATAGGTTCACGTAAATTGAAACGGAGGGAATACAAAGATGTTAGACGTCCGATCTATTTGGAAGCTTCAAAATTCACGCCTTGTTTTTACATTTAAAAATCTAATGACAGGTCATTGATAATTTAACATATTGTAGATGCATGATTTGCGTATATGTCATGGCTCGTGATCAAGCTTCAAGAGTAAATGATACTCCCTCCCTCCATTTGATAATTTGGTACCTAATTTTTGAAAAGGCAGGTTTGTATACGGTCAAAATAGAGCTTGTCCTTTCTTATGACCGATCGAAATTAGAAAATAATTAAACGAGGTTCGGGCTCATGTAATGTCGAACCATGATGCAAAGTTAGATCATCAAGCTCATGACCCATAGACCGATCGAGATCGGCTAAGACCGAACAAGATTGAGATCAACCAAGATCGAGACCAAGCTAATGAGGGACTGATCGAGACCGAGATCGACCTAGATCGAAACCGAACAAGATCGTGGCTAACCAAGTAAGGGACCGATCAA